CAATATTATATCAAGTTTTATTTTCACAAATGTCTAAGCATCTATAGATGTTTAGGGATATACGAATGTGATAGTAGTAGAACGAAGAAATACAGAAATAAGTTCATCAAGTCCTTATTGCATTAAATGTTCGACAATAGAGCTTGCTGATTGCAACGAATTGGAGTCGTTAGATCATCAGATAGCTAACAAAATTCTTCAATATATAGAAAGAAAGCTTGATTCAATAATGTTTTGATTAAACGTTGATATATGTGGCGTCTTTTATCTCAACAACTTTTTTTTAAATTTCACAATACTAAAGACATTGAGCAGTTATTCATTTACTAAAACAATTCTAAGTAGAGTGCTCAACAGAGATTCTGTGACATACTTGTAAGAGAGAATTTGAAACTCTATTCTGTTGGCAAATGGCCGAGTACACAGATGCTTTGACATTCACTAGAGAATTTTAAAGGAAATGAGTAAAAAGAAAATGATATATATATATATATATAATAATGCCAACTCTATATTAGATCATATAAAAGTTCTCTTTCATCTTTCTACAAAGAATTAAAAATACTTTTACCACTATTTTTTCATATACCTTAAATATTTTTATGAAATAAAAATCTTACTTGATATTCTACATGATACCATGCTGATGCATTGAGTGTTGTACTTGATGCATCAAGTATTGTATCACGAAAACGAAATCTTAATCTTGATTGATAAATTTCAATAGCTGTCCAAAAAAAATCATTTATCGGTGTTGTATTTCGTCCATAGAATAAAATTAAGCCATTAGTTACTGGTGGACGTACAGCAAAATCAAATGAGAAACGTGTTGGTGCACGATTTGAAAAAGTTGTTCCATCAAATACAGCATAACCACCACCATTCTCATTAAATGTTCTTCCAAGTACTTGACAATACGGTCCAAGTGGTGCATATGTTTGTAATGATGTACATGGACCATATGTTAAATTATTAAATGTATTTGTAACACATCCTGTTTGTGTATTTGTAAAATTTTTTGAATATGTTGAATTAACACAATCAGCTGAATCAACAACGTTTATACCAACAAATGATGTTTGATTTGTATCAATAGAATAAGGTAATGGTTGTATAGTTCGTGTTGGTCGACAAATTGTACCTAATAAAAATTAATATTAATATGAAAATACAAATTATAATTTTACCTGTTGAACAAACATAATTTGTACATGGATTTGGTCCACTTGCGTTTGCTATTATACCATAACGTGATGAAAATAATGGAAGATTTGTATTTAACGTATTTTCAATATCATTTTTTTGTAATGATGGTACGTAAAAAATGACATCAGTTAATGCTTGTTGTTTAGCTTCATTCCATGATAATGGTGGATAATATGGACTACGATATTGATAAACTGGACGTATAGCAAGAATAACAATTGATTCAACAGTAACAAGTAAAAATGATGCAAGTGCATTACGAAGTGTATTAAGACGATTACCAAGTGATGGATCAACTAATGTTTCAGGATATTTACCTAAAATAAAAGTAAACTATTAATAAAAACTTGATAATTAAATGTAAATTTTTAATGATTTTAATCTAATACTTAAAATAACTGTATATATATGATTAAAAATACATGTATAATTCAATAAGGAGAGATTCTCGTACTGATTGCTAGGTTTTACTATTGAATTTAAAACATAATCAGATTCTAAAAGTTAATTCATTCACATAATTAATACATCCGAGGTTATATATAATGCATGATTTTATCTGCTTTTCTTTCAATTGTTATTAACATTCTAGTGAAGAAAAATGTTCAAGTGATCAATTGCTTTTGAATCTCGACTTTATGTATAAGATAGATTTCAATGAGACATAACAAAACTTTTAAAATGATACATTGCCTTAGGTCTTCAGTACGAAGTTATAAACATTTTAACAGACATTCTTTTGAAGTGAAATTTTCAGAACATTCTACTGATAAACAGATGTATCTATAGGCAAAATCTTAGAATACAATATTGTCTATCGATATTTGTTATTAATTTCAGTATAGGTTCTACATGATGTAAAAAGCTGAAATTCAAAAGCAATTTCTTAGTTAAGGGGTGTGGGGGTGGGTGTGGGTGGTGGTGTGGATGTGGGTGTGGATGTGGGTGGGTGTGAGTGTGGGTGTGGGTGTGGGGTGTGAGTGTGGGTGTGGGTGTGGGTGGGTGTGGGTGTGGGTGTGGGTGGGTGTGGGTGGAGGTGGAGGTGGAGATGGCGACGTGGGTGTCGGGTATGGGTGTGAGTATGGAGTACGGGTGTGGTTTGGTGTGGATGTGAATAGGGTGTGGATGTAGGTGTGGGTGTGGGTACTTCATTCTCATTTATATATTCACATTCACACCCAAACCGCACCCGCACTCCATACTCACACCCATACCCGACACCCAGGTCGCCATCTCCACCTCCACTCACACCCCACCCAGCCACACCCACACCCACATCCACACCCACATCCACACCCACACACCCGCCCACACCCACACCCACACCCACACCCACCCACACCCACCCACACTCACACCCACGCCCACAGGCACACCCGCACCCACACTCACCCACACCCACACCCACATCCCAAGTAGGCTTAAATGTTTGATTTATTTTAACGAATTTTCTCTCGCAATATGCAACAGAGCTTGATAATGTGTATATAAAAAATTAAATAGAGAAAATCTTTTTCTAAGTATCACGCTCTCAAGGTAGAACCTTCTGGTCATCTTTATTAAAAAAAATTTCTGGGAGACTCAAATATAACTTCAATCAGCATTAGTAAAATATTTAGATCTGAAGTTAAAGTAGATCTATTGTGTTTGTCATATTAATTGATAATGATTTAAATTTACCTGTACTAAAAAGAAGTAATAGAAGTAAGAGTAAAAAATGATTTTAAAGTCCATGCAAAATAATGAATACCACGAAATAGAGGCTCACTATGTCTACTTCATAGTATGAGACCGAGACAGAACTGACAGTCAATGTCTGATTCCATAGAAACTATTATAGGTATTCTGAAACTGATCACACAATTTAAAAATTTCGAGTTATCAATTGTTGAACACTTCTATACCCATAAACTAATGGAAGTATAGCTTCCGATCAAAAAAGATTGGTCGCAAGACAAACCTAACTTCAAGTTTTTGACTTGCAAAAAAAACATTAGCGGCCCACTGAGCTTCTGTTCTGTGGGTCGATCTGATAAAATTTGTGAAAATAACATGAAAAAAAAAGAAATGTAATGAAGAATGATAATTTCATTGAAATAAAAGATCATCGCATTGAATTCTTTTCTACTCCAATTGCATCAATAAACATTTTTGTATGTGCAAATGGACGAGATGATCTTTTTAAACATAATCTAAAAAACAAAATCTTTTTATTTTGTTTAAAAATCAAATCTGCTCAGTTGGATATCAATACTGTTTCAAAAGTGAATTATCAATTTTAATTTCCAATTCTTTTGTTCAAATCTCTATTTTTGTGTCATTTGAACAATAATATCATATGAATATAAGATTTGATTAATAGCAATAATTATGTTTGAAAGATTATTTTTATGAAATAAAATTGAATCATCTTTTCTTTTTATTTTCTTCAGATAAATTATTCCAAAGAATAAGATTTATTATTTCAGATGATATGCAATTATTACGTAGCTATTAATTCACTTTAAAATTTCTTCAGTTAACTTATTTAATGAATCATGATGATTTGATTGCTACCAGAGAGTTCTGTGTGAATGTCTTCTATTGTCTCTGTGTTTGTTATTTTTTTGATTTTCTTTTGTTATGAGAGGTTGTCGAACACAATTGATTGTTTGAAATCAATTGTGATTTAATTTATGGAATCAATGACTATTATCAGCATAGCAATCTAACTATCTTTGCACAAAATATTTCACTAGATGAACGGCCTATCAGTATCCATGAACTATCTGCATCATCTGTGATTTCTTAGGCCTAGTCCAGTTTGTTAGAAGATTTGACCGTGAAAATTGTGAGTGGTACTGTATGTAACATAAAATTGATTGAAGCCGAGCTTTCGGCGAAAAAACTACGTTGGAATTAACATTGGAGTATTGAAATAATTGTTGTTTTTCTTATAATGAAATGTACACCGTCATTGTGAAGCATAGTAATCTGCTTTGGACGTTATTCGGTTTGTTTCATCAGACTTGACGATAAAAAATAATTAAAAAAAGTCAACTACGTTATTAAACAAAAACAGTTTCTCTTTTTAGGAAACATTTTATTTTATTCTAAGGTATGAAACTCATATAGTTCACTATTTTGGCTTCATTTTTTCTAAAACGCTGAAGCATTGTGCTCTGTTGAAGACATGCAAATATATTCAACTGAATTAAGATCGAAAATGCGACTTTGACTTTGTTGGGCACGACGCATGCAATAAAACTAATCAAATTTCTTTGTTTTTTTTCAAGAGTTTGATGATGCACAAATATGAAGGACGACAGCTTGACATAGGAACTGAATTTTTTTTCATTTTCTAGCTTTATTATTTTTTATTTGAAGAATCATCGTTGAAAATGACGGTCGCTTTGGTTTCGATAGTACTCTTTAGCTCACTAGTCATTATTCATGGATCGCATTTTCTCGGCGGCACTATTTCGTGGCATCCATTTCATGAATCTGCTACTGGATCCCCGGTTGCGATTGTAATAACTCAGACATATTCATGGACATATTCACTGATTACATGTACAACGGCTGACATTACTACCAATGAATTAATTCATGTTGGCTCATATACTTATCTGACAACTCAAACACTCGATTGCATAAGCAATTGCTATTCTGGCGCAGCTGGTTACGTTCCACCTAGTGTCAGACCACGATGCACGGATATTTCAGCACCGTTGGGCACTACTGTTGGACAGCGTTCTGATATTGTCTATTTGTCAGCGAGCAATGACTTTACTGCTGCTTTTCAACAAAATGCCTGGCGCCCCCTAGCGACAGCATTAAGTGCTTCCTGGTCAATCGCAACACACATTAAAGTCCAGCCAAGATCCGATAATGGCCTGTACAACAGTGCACCTGTGGCGACTATGATGTCTCCGATCGAAATCCCTGTAAATCGTCCCACAGCTGTTACCGTACCTGTCGGTGACGCGGATGGTGATACGACACGTTGTCGATGGTCAACATCGTCAAATGGTATTGATGAATGTGGTGGTGTATGTCCACCTCATTCACTACCGCCGAATGCTATCATCTATCCAAACTGTACTATTATCATTACTGGTCAGACGGTTGACAACTGGTTTGCTGTAGCAATCATGGTGAATCAATGCATAATTTTGTTTGCCGTTCATATTTACCTCTTATCTTTAGGTCGAAGATTTTATTTCTCCGACGAGCACTACCCCACTCAGTGCGGTACCCGTACAATTTCTTGTTCATGTTGTTAATTCACCATCGTGTACTACTGAGCCAGTCATTGCTGGAATACCGCTTGAAGACTCCTGTACACCTATAACAGTCGGTCAAACATTTCACTCGATGCTAATTGCGATTAATCATTGTGGTGCAAGTGTAACCATTGTCGATATTTCGACATTATCATTTTCTGGCATGATAAAAGGAGATCTCATCGAATTCAATACGTCAACCTACTACAAAACACTTTCATGGACACCTACATCATCTCAACTTGGCTATCAAGTTATGTGTGCCATGGCTTTAAACAGGTATTGAATTCATATTAAATGAAAAACGACTGAATCAGTTTTTGACCACCTAGCCAAAATGCTCAATCAGCGCAATATTGTTTCAAATTCTACGTTTCGCAAAATAGTATGTGTGCTTGTCCTGGTTACATTTGTATTACCACAACGGCAACGTTAGTTGAATGAAACAATTGATTCTAGACCACTTTGACTGATATGTTTGTTTTTCAGAGCATCGACTAGAGTTACAACATCTGCTATTACTACAAGGAAGTCTGTAGCAATTTTTTGTTTTCATTCACGCTTAGTGTCATTATTCATAATCTTTAGAACCACAACAACTTCGAGTACTACAACGTGAGTGAAAAATTGATCATTCTTACTAAAATGTTGATTACGTTTATTCAGTTCAACGACATCGTCCACTTCGGCAACTTCCACGTAAATGGAGATTTGCAAGTTGTCTAATAATCTTTACAGGTTCCTAAATACATTATAGGTCAACGACAAGTACTTCGACAACTACAACGTCAGTTTGTTTTAGATTTTCAGAAACAAGCAAAATACTTCTTTCTCTTTAGACGAACGACTTCGACAACAACCACAACAACAACCACGACAACAACGACAACAACAACAACCACGACAACAACAACAACAACAACGACAACAACCACGACAACGACAACAACAACAACTACGACAACGACGACAACAACCACGACAACGACAACAACAACTACGACAACGACAACAACAACAACTACGACAACGACAACAACAACAACCACGACAACGACAACAACAACAACTACGACAACGACAACAACAACAACCACGACAACGACAACAACAAAGAAACGTATGTCTACATTGATCAGCGTTGTTATTATGTAAATGTATTTCCGTTTTCTATAGCGGATTCAGTCAGTTGGCCAATATTCAGCAGCATCCTTGGTTTTACTCTTATTGGGACATTGACTTTATGCTCTTGTCTTTGTTGGCGTTATCGCTGGTTAGTATAATAAATAATAAGCGCCATTCTTGTGCAATATTCTCCTTATTTCAGTCTCCTGAGCGGTCATGGTGATGTAGTCAAGCATAAAGGAGTTTTTGAATTCTACTATATCGATCAATGTACCGATCCAAATTGTTCTTGGCATCAACTTTTGGATTATGGCGGAGTTCTTACTGCCAATGACCCTAATTCTATTGTTCATAATGCGCTCAACAAAATTACGAATGACTCGAGGAATGATCGATGTCAAAATGACCACTCATTATGGATGTCGAGCAATCATTCACAACGAAAATTGATCCCTCATGTATCAGTTTCAAAAATTCAAGCAGCAAAACGACCAATCAATGCAGCAAATCCGAGTATTAAACCACCAATTCGACTAGCAGACGATGATTTAATCAGTTCTCCTCGATTCCAATCGAAAACAAGTAATCATGTGAAAGTATCGCACATCAAGTCGATATCAACAAGACAAAGACGTAGTTCATATTCTTTATTACCATCGTGTCATACCTCACAACTACTTGAAAATTCCAAATTAAGACGCAACAGCATCGAAACTATTCATCATATTCAAGTGAGTCGTGTTCAGATGGCACAATCGTTACAGAGAGATTCATTGTTATCAAATCAACCTCGTCAATCGATTATTGACGGTACGATTCGATTGGATGATGTTGATAAAAGTCCAATTTCGGTGCATTCATCATCAGCGACTAGCGAACAGAAAGTATTTGTGAGGCATGGGACGTCAGCTCGTCGACCAATCCCAAGGACAGAAGAACGACCACCACAAGATTTTATCGATTTATCACTGTCCTATTTTATACCGGCGACATCGACCATTCATGTCAAACACGTACCAACAAGCAGGAAAAAATTGAAATCAACTAGAAATCCTGCTCATCTTGCATTGATTTTTGAAGAGAAAGAGAAAAACCAAAAGTTTGATGCGACACACGCTCACTCAAATGTTACTGTCAAAAGAACAACAGGAAACAAGAAGACTTTACTAACAACACATCTCTAGATGAACTCATGCGTGAAAATTGTACTGCTTTTTTTTTTCTTCTTTTACCTGGCTCTAATAAAAAGACAAACATCCACAGAAGATCTAGTTCCCAATCCGTGCTATGGGGAAAAAAGATGTTGCTTCTTTTACAGTGGAGATGTAAGTTAGAATTAAGAGAAGATCCATACGCACACCTACACCCCACCCCATGAGAGGTGCCTTGCCTGACTTGGAAGACACATGATGCATTGGAGAATGTGGGTGTGGTGGTGTGTGCCAGATATTAATGTCCTTTCATTCAAACTCACTAAAGCATTAAACGACACTCACATACCAACACCTTTTAAATTATGATTTTGTTTATTGTTACGAAGTTTTTTTTGAATTACACTATTTGTCTTAAGAAACTTCATGTCTGTTGATACAATCCTATTCATACTGACATGTAGAACGCGTCGGATCCATAGTTTTCAGATCCGAATTCAGTTCATTCAATTTTTTCAGACCCGAAACCGATCCATCTTCATAATATTCTCAATAAAATTTTGTAATCGGATTTGATGATCGCTTCTAAGATGCGAGACACATTTTTCACTCTTTTGATTTCAACAACTAGGGTGTGGGTGTGGGTGTCGGGTGAGTACGTGTGGGTGTGGACGAATTTAACACTTACATAAGCACGCGCCCACACCCACCCACACCCACACCCACATCCACACCCTATTATTTGCTCAATGTTATATACAATGCATTATAAAAACGAGAAAAAACAAGATCGAAAAATAAATCAATATCAAATAATTGAAAAAAAAGAAACAGATTCTATATTGAGAGTACTATTTTGTTTGAACATGGTTGGATGTGGGTGTGGGTGTGGGGTGTGAGTGTGGGTGTGGGTGTGGATGTGAGTGTGTGGGAGTGGGTGTGGGTGTGTGGGTGTGGGTGTGGATGTGGGGTGTGGGGTGTGAGTGTGGGTGTGGGGTGTGAGTGTGAGTGTGGTTGTGGTTGTGGTTGTGGGTGTGGGTGTGTGAGTGTGGGTGTGGGTGTGGGTGTGGGTGTGTGAATGTGGGTGTGGGTGTGGGTGTGTGAGTGTGGGTGTGGGAGTGTGGGTGTGGGTGTGGGTGTGTGAGTGTGGGTGTGGGTGTGGGTGTGTGGGTGTGGGTGTGGGTGTGGGGTGTGGGTGTGGGTGTGGT